GATTGGAACCGAGATCAACTCATTCATACTGACATGTTCACCAACTTCAGTTCCTGACTTTCTGTAGTCCTCTGTCTCCCAAGACAGAGAATTTACCTCCAGCTTGCTTTAAGAATAATGCACAGTGTTGGTCTAACAGTTCTCCTTTAGCCAGAGAGGAAGGAGTTTTGTAGAAGTTCAGGCAGATCTATTTTAAACTTCCAGATTATACTGCAAACTGGTTTCAACTGTGGGTGGATGAAGTTAAGAGCAATAATTATAAACCAGCAACCAAGGAAGCTGGCAGTAGAGCTCCAGACTCTCAGAATATTTTTTTGTTGGGAAAGCTGCCAGGCTCCCTTCCAGAATATGAGTGCTAAGTAACAGCACTCCAGCAAACACACCAAGTATTTATACTTGATCGGGTGCTAATACAGGCCTAGGGGTACAGCAGCGCAGTAGCTTGGAAGCAGATGAGCACGGGGTCACATGCAAGCAACAGTTTTCAGTTAGTAACCAGAAGTTTGCAGTTAGATTTTTAAGATGCTTCTCCGTAGATTGGCAAATTGAAGCTATGCATTCACTGCAAGCCTGGTATTCCGTATCAGCTCTGCTTGATATAATTATTTGTAAAACAGTCTTGAAGCTCACTTCAGCTGTCTAGCATTAACAAAATCAAATACCAGGAATGCACATCTTCAAAGAAAAGCTGAACAGGTTATAGGTAGCTGGCCACTGGTACAGCATCAGGTAGTCAGAGATATTACAGAGGACAAGGGAGTCTGAGCCCCAGAACAGGTGAGACATGAAAGCTTTTGGAGTGATAGGGAAGAAACCAATACTGGGATCAGGACCCTGTTAGATAGCTGTCAGTGTCAAGATAGACCATAGCACGAACTGCCAATATTACCCGCTTAGGAATACATATCTAGAAGGACTACAAGCACCATAGCTAGAGGACAGCAGGAGTAAGTCATACTGAACACTTTCTTTCTAATTCTGCATAGCTTGGCACTTGGAACACGTAGCAGCATGCTACTAAATCTGCACAGCCTCAGCCGGACCACATCCTGAGTCCTATCTTACTTCTACAACCATTTAGATACAATCACACAGTAGATTATCATCTACTTCTCACCTCTGCTCTGAACCCAGTAACCCATTAATAATGTCTTTCCTCCACAGTGTCAAAGTGCTTGTCCTAATGCACAAAGCAGATTCACTACCAAAAGTGACAAACTAGCACACTGGAGTCAAGTAGTCACATGTAAGCAGAACTTCCTATTTTATTCTTAATGGACAATTTAAAAAGGAGAGAAACCCACACTGACACTTCCTCATTTGCCTTACGTTCCACTGCAGAAAATGTGCTCTGAATAGTGGTTCTCAATTAGTTTGCATGCCTTCCAAAAGCTCTGTAAGAGAGCAAGAACTCAGTTTTATAACTAACTGTAAAATAATCCCACAGGATGCACGGCAAGGTTCTTCTCCTTCTGCATGTCTCCCTTTCACCTAATGTTAAACAAAACCAAACAAAAACAAAAAAAGGGAGGGGGCAGTACTGCCTAGGTTCAGTTTTAGCTGTACCCTTATCTGGAGTCTAGCAAGGGTGAAGGGATAAAAGCCTGAAAAAGCTGATGTTGGTCAGGTATCAGGACAAACAATGTTTTATGTAATTAGACTTCAGGGGAACAGAAAGATCTCTATAGAGACATCTTGCCAATACAGAAATGCTTCAGAGACAAGAATCTATAACTTTAGCATTTCATGTTTGTTGCAGAATCACTGTGAAAGCCAAGTACTTCGTCCATTTCATTTAAGAGCTTACATGCTCCTCAGAAGTCAACAGTTCCTGGCTCCTAAAACAACATTCTCCCACAAGTCAGGATGAAGACTCTTATTTCAGACAACAAAAGCTCTGAAGCCGTCTTCAGAAGATTCAGAACACCTGGGACTAGTCCACACAGAAGGCCTCAGAACCAGGGAAAGAACAGAAAACAGCACAGATGCTTTTCCTTCTCTTTCTTATGACCTACTGCTCTAGTAGCTTTAGCCACTTTTCTTAAACAACAACCAAAGGTTTATGAAACAAAGTTGAATAGTTCTAGGCTACCAGATAATTCCCACATTTGAATTAAAAAACAGGAGACACATAGACAATGCCCCCACCCTCCAGGTTCCTCTGACTCAGGATAAGGTAGCATTCTCAATCAGCAGCTCCAGCAAACAAGGAAAGTATGCTTTAAGGAATGCAAAGCTGTGATGGCAGAAGTTCAGCCACCTCAGGCGCACACCTGTGACAATGGAAACTGAAGCACTGCTTTATGGGCTTACTTCTGCACTGTCTACCCTCGGAGGACTTCAGTCTTAGGCACCTTTATCTTTCAGCAGTCTTTAAGAATTGCTCAGAGTAGGTAAGGACCACCTAGAAAAAGCAAGTTATCAAGTTCATAGTGATGGTCAGCCATTACCAATATCCCTCTGCCAGAGGCATGTCCTAGTGCAGGCCTGGTTATGGACAGTGGTCCGTACAGAAGCTTGCTGACCCAGAGCCACTTTGAAGCAGGAGACTTCAACTCAAACCTCTCCCGCAGTGCCAACATCCACTAGACTCTCCAAAAAGGCCCTTGGAAAGGTCAAGTGAGCATACAAGCACATCTCCTATTCAAGAATCAACAAAGAACAGCTGCAGAGCTTTAGACCCAAGTCACACTTGAATACTGACCTCCCTCTGCTACCCAATTATTGGAGCTATCCCCACAACGTTAGTCGATTAGTGAGCTATCTTTCAAAAGATTAATGACCCACCACCAGAGATTAAGACCAAGAGACCTAAAAGGCAGTTTTACCTATTTACCTCCACTTACCATAGTCACTCTCTAGACTACTCAGTACATAGTACAAGCAGTTGAAGTTTAATACTCCTTTAAAGTTAGGAACACTTGTTTGTTTAATGAAGTCTTTCCTGAGGTGGGACAGAAGTCAACTCATTTTTATTTTCCCCACGTGCCAGGTATTAACTGGAAGAAGGGACATCCCTCAAACAGAAGAGGTGTCGGACTCCTTCCATCAGGAGAATCAGATGTTTGTCTTTTCCTGCTAATTCAGCTAAAAGGGGAAAAAAAAGAATGCTGCTCTCTTCCTACTGGAAATCCTTTTATTCTGCAAGGCTCATTACCCTAATGCCATTTCCAGGTCAACCACAGAACTGCTCTCAAGTCTAAAAACCATGTACTTCAGCCCATTTTTGCTCTCCACTTTGGAATAATACTGTGCAGCCATGTGCCTAGAACAGGACAGTACTACACAACAGTACCAGAAGATGGACTTCACCTGTGTTGCTGGTGGAAAGACTGGGCCAGAAACTTCCTACTGACAAGCAGTTAGCTGACCACAGCCTGAGGCTAATGAGGTATTTCTGCTCCTAAGTTATTAGGGATGCTGATACACTTCTCAGACACTTCAAAGCAGTAAAGAAGAGAGGAGCTTGCTTGCTCTAACAAATAAGAAAAGTTCTTTAATACAGCTAAGGAGAGCAGTTATACAGTGTGAGCTACACCTCCAAACAGAGCTTCTCAGCAGCTACACAGCAGTATGGATGGACAGTGCTCACAGAGTGAGCACAATACCACCACTGCACTCCTGGTCTGCGAGAAGACCCATGAAGGCAGCTGCCAACTCCCATGGCTACAGGTTGGCCAGACAACAACCTAGTTACATGAGTAAATCCAATCCATTACAGACTAAAAATCCACAATTCCTTCATCCATTTTACTCACATATCCCCTTTCTCTAAGAGGGCCATCAACTCTTTGACAAGTTCATTAGCTGAAGGCATATGTTCTCACAGCGAAGGTACGCCTGGCTTCTCACTTAATCAACAGTGGGCAAATGTTCAAGGAGAGAGCCCCTTACAAGAAGAGGGCAGGGACAAGTGCTGAATCTGCAGTTACAGGGCAGCCGAAGGTGACACATGGAAGAGTGCAGACTACCTTGACAAATTCCTGCAGAGCATGGGAGTGTACTGGATCAGGTATCAATGACAGGCCCAGGGCTGTTGGATGCTATCAGACCCATGCTGCCCAGAAGTAGCTCCATACTCCGCAGGACAACAGCCACAGGGAACACCTCTTGCCACCAGCACCTGCTACACCCTGGACGCACATCCGCTGGCCAAGAATTGCTTATTAGAAAGTTTCAAACCGATCTCAACCCTTGTTCCAAGGAAATCTTACCTTAACATATTGCAGGAAGTCTGTCCACAGAGATAGCAAGTCCTTGGAAAAGCAATTAAGGTTCCAGCAGTGCTGTGCTGCCACTCCTGCTTTTACCACATCCAAGGCCCACACATGGGCAAGGCACTTTACAAAGCCTGTGAGTGTCCTGCAGACACATGCCAGAACTAGGGAAGGGAAAGCAGGCACAGACGCTCCCTGCAACAGCATCCTTCCCAAACTACATGGCTATGAACAAGCGAGTAGGAGCTCAGGTCTGGAGAGGACCAATACTGACAAACTGATGGCAAGCTGGGTGGCAAAGAAACAAGAGCAGCTCCAAGACTTTGCTCTGAGGGCTACAGGAAGGAGACAGGAGGGAGCAATTCCTGAAGCATTCAGACCCATCTGTG